CTCTCTCTCTCCCTCTCTCTCTCCTCCTTCTTTCTCCTCTTCCTTTCGTTGTCCCTCTTTCTCTGCCAGTTCCAGTTCCAGCTTTGCTTCCTTTTTCCCGTTCCCGTTCCCGTTCTCGTTCCCGTTCTCGTTTCCTCGTTGCCGTTTCGCTGTCCTGTCCCGAGTCGCGATCTACCGATCCTAGCTCCCTGTCCCTCTCCCTGGCCCTGCTTATCGGCACGAATTCGTGCACCAACACACATCGACACGCGCGCGCCGCACCACCGGCCTATTATACGTATTATTAGCACTCCGTCACAGTCCTGTCATCGCCATGTACGCTCCTCTACGTGCGCGCGTCACCACGCCGAAATTCCCGAATAACACCCGTCGCTTTCCGTGTACCCATCTTTCGCCAATTTTCCACCCATTATTGTCACTCCCGACCTTTTCTTCCCGTCTCTCGCAAAGGTCGACGGCCTCCGCCCCGCGATCCGCCGATTTCCACGCAAAAATCCTCCCTCGCGTTTCTTCGCCAACGTATTTCCGTCGGTGCGCGATCGGGCCGGAAAGTTGGATTCGCGCGACGAGTAATCGTAAGTTTCGAACGGGTGATGCCGTCATTTGCAGGCAAACGAAAGCCGCGTTTTACACGGGGAGCACGTCCGCGCGCGCGCACCCCTAATTTACGACTTATCGGCTCTGATCGGAGTAATTTTCGCGCTTGTGAAAATTATACCGACGTACCTCGTGCTCGTCCAACGAATTTCCTCTCTCTTCGTTCATCCCAACCCTCCTACCCTCGCCTCTCGCCCTCCTTCCCGCCCTCTATTCTACCCGCCACACCGTGGAAGTGACGCAAAATCGTGCTCCCGGCACAGGCTGGCTTGTACCGAGATGTCGATACCACGAAGAGCGGATGTCAATAGCACGAAGTCACTCCTTTCGCGAGAGAGAAACCGCGTCAGCCGATTTTACAGCATTTTCGCGGCACCGTGCTGAAAAACGCGCAACACGCGTTGTTGCTCCATCCACGATCCCTCCAACCGACCATCTTTGCCTTTCGATCCTTTTCCCAACCTTTGCAACTGTTGGCGAAAAGATCGATCGTTTGCGTCTTGCATCCACCGTGCTAACGCGGCCCAACTTTTCTTTCTTTTTTTTCCCCCAAACTTACTTTCTCCACCCTTCTTCCGCCCGTGCTATCGCCCGTCCTTTCGCCCGTTTAGTTCCCGCTCCCAACTCTCCATACTCCCACGCTGATCCGTCTTCTTTCCACCAATCGGTCCCACGACGTTCGTCCAACCGACTCGCTCCAGAGTTCGCTTTTACGCTTCTCGCGATAGCCTATAGCCCGATCCAACCCAGACCGAACGCGCTCAAAGAGATTCCTTCTTCCAATAATTACAGACTAGCTCCGTTGTGTCATCCCTTGACAAAGAACGCGCGTTATGCCACGGTTACGCGTGTGCGTGTGCAGCCATGAGAAAACCAAACCGACTATCGAATGAAACAGGTGAGCCGGATAAAATTAAACAGCTGTTTCCTCGTTTTACCGGCCCTCCAGTGACTTGGCTTCTGCTGCCGCTTCTTCTTCTTCTTCTTCTTCTTCTTTTTCTTCTTCTTTCCTGACACACGCGTCGATCCCATAGCTCGAATAAATCCCACACTCGAATATCGTAAATCCGCCAAAGTGTTTTCCCCGCGAAATCGAATCGTACTTTTCGTCGCCGTGATCGTCGCGCTTTTCAACTTTCGTTCCAATCGTCTCTCCCTCGTCTTCTTTTTCCTTCCGTCTAAGATACCTGAAAAATATGAAACGAGCGCGTGAACGTGTGCGTGCGTGTTTGTTGGATAAGTGGAAGGTGGGATGGAACGGATAGAAAACAGCTGAGGCGCAGCTGGTTTCTGGCATCGCGACGGATGGCGTCTTCCGCACCAAGAGCACCGCGTACCTCGCGTGTGTATACATACGTGTTCACGGTTGACGTGTGTGTATAGTACAAACCATCCATGGTAGAAAGCAGAATTTGAATCGCTTCTTAAAAAACACGCAAAGAGGAGAAACAACAAACGAGTTTGAAAAATTTTGCGATTCGTGTCAAAAATTCGAATAAATTCGTAAGACATGGAAAGAACGTTTACGGGATAGAAAAGTAATCTCGCGAAAATAAAAGAACGGAAATTCGATAGAGATGAGTCGGTTCTCTTTTCGATCGTTTTCAAGTCGCTCGAGAAACTTGTTCATCATTTCGAGCCTCCTCCGCTTCCTTCTTCCGAGGACTTCGATGAACGAGAAGAAATTGCGCGGTCAGTGTCGAAATCGGTTTCGCGTTACTCGCGATAGTTTGCTGCTCCTGTATAAACTAGCTCCATCTATTTAAATAGATAATATTCGCGCGCCACTTTCAGTCCTTTGCGGGCCTCGTTCGCATCTTTACCGACATCTCTCGGTTTCAACGGGAACTACGAGTCACTGGTAATAATCGATACCGCCTCGACGTGTTTCTAACCATCCTATTTCGCCGAGGACAGATACACCTTTATCGCGAATCTCTCTTTTATCACGATCTATCGTAGAATACGCGCTGTACTTACCGCTACGAAATGATCGACTCTTCTACAGTGTACAAATAATGCTTTATTATTATGTTACTCGACACTGACATGATTCACAGATTTTCGATTTACAAGGATACGATTACGTGCACATCTATTTTTGTACATTGCGTATAATCGAAACTTTCCAAATCTTTTTCATATCCATCACCGATCGAACTCTACCTTTATTGTCGGTTAACCATTCTCACGATAACGTCAATGTCTAAAATTCTCAAGATTTATTCTTCCCCCTCCCTCTCGCTCACTCTCTCTCTCTCTCTCTAAATCTCTTTCTCTCTCTTTTTATTATCATTTTTTCGTATTCTTTTCTTTTTTATTCTCTCTTTTGTCTTTTTTTCGACAATTCTTCCTTGCATAGTCTTCCGATTCGATAACTCTGGAACGAACGCTTTAACCAGTATCGGACGTGCAGGACGAAGTATCAGCGTTACTGTGATCGTTGTTGCTCTCCGTTGACGAACTATCGTTGCTCTTTATTCGTCGTTTCCGCAGCTTTGCAAATTGAAACTCCTCAACCGGCACTGTACATTAACAATTGAAGTTATTATTAGTTTCGTTTGCCTAATTATTATAACGTATTCGGGAAAAGGAACGATCGTAACGACTCTAACGACTGGGAAAGTAAATTAACAAGTAAATTACGTCTAGCGAAATCGGAACAAACGATATCTGTATTTTTTTCCTTTTTTTTTTTTCACTATTTCTAAAATTCGTTTTAATACAGTGTAACTCTTACGTTACAGCCATGGCGCATCGAGATCGCTGTAAACCATCCAAAATTAGTCACTCGCGATACACTTTGTTACGTCCCGATATAAGATCTATGGCATACTATGGCTGTAACATGTACATCGTACGATATTAACAACGACCAGAAAAAAATTGATTTTTCGTATCTAATAAAGGACGAGTAATGACTTAACCGCTTAATACTCGTCAAAGCGTTGCGTTTCAGTGACGAACCATTTGATAAAGACATGTGCGTTATTTACGATACTCTTCACGTTTCCTCAAATTTACAGAAAGTTTGTTAACTTTATATATGATATATGTATATATATATATATACACACACACATAATATGTATAATTCACTTCGGTGTACAAGCCCTTGCGAAACAGATGCGATATACGTATAAGTATGAAGGATTTAATTGTTAGTGTATTACAACTAAGGATATTCTATCGATCGACTGATCGTTTTCTATTGATCAACTTTGTCTTACAATATATTTGTAGAAAAGGATTAACATTGTCGAAAACCTCCGCTTATAATTTAATACCCCGTAAAACGGTTGTTATTATTATACTTCATTCATTCGTTCACAATTCTAAATACTATCGGAAATTTTACTGGAACGAAACGAAAAGTGATTGTGTAAATACATGATAATTTTCAATAATATCTAATCCGATTCGGTGGATGATCGATCTTTTGATAAAAATTTAAAAAAGAAAAAAAGAATAGAACATACAAGAATTGTAATACTTTATCAACGAATAGCTTGCCACAATCTAGGTAAATTTACTGCACGGTAATACGATTACTGGTACTGCAAGTTTGGTTACCATCAGAATCTGGATCTCGATCCATAACGGTATGAGAGGTGCTCGGTAACGGAATAATTTCAGGTTCGAGCGGTTTTACAGGGCAATCGACGTCTTCGACGATTACTTCTTCTGCCAAACTGCTTCTTACAGCTTCTACATGGAAAAGAATAGCAAAAGTCAATGTCGATGTAATCTTTATGTGTTCTGTTTTTAAAATTGCTTATACAATGTCCTTACCGTTAAATGCTTGAGGATATTGCTGACTCAACTTATTCTTTACGATACGAATCCTTTTGAAAATATAATCTAGATCTTTCTTCATTTCCACCAATAGGGCTGTATGCTTCTTAAATTCAGTTCCAGCAGTTTTCAACCTATTTATCGATAATTGATTGCAATTGGTCAACATCTCGTTAGTCTTTTCAAATCTCTGCAACCTATAAAATCACCACACGATACTTTAAATAACTCATTAAAGAATCCTATTCGTAAACAAGTAAAACGATATATAGAAAAATATTCTTACATTTGTTTTTGAGCTCTTATCATAGATTCTACATCTTGTTGATCAACGATACCAGCCAAACCTTGTATAAATACCTCTGGTGCTGTATAGTTTTGAAAGCATTCAAAACTCCCAGTATCTGACTCCGGTGTGCCTTGTGCTGTTGCCATTTTCTTTCTTTCTCTCTCTCTCTCTCTCCCTCTCTCTCTCCTTCTCAAATCTTACATCGTATAATAACGGCACGTTTGTTATAAAATTTTAACGTCGTCATCTTTTTAATTACGTCTCTTCTTTATATGATGATTTGTGCTATAAAGTGTACATTTGTATTTTTTTTATAAACGTTAAGTTCGCGATATTCATTGTCGAGAAACGATATTATAACGCAGCAATGTCATAAAAAAAAGGACGTGTCATCTTTAAATGAACGTTAGTCGTTGTTATATGATAATGAATTTATAGAAGATAAGATAATACAATAGCAGAGTTTTGTTTCCTTTTCCTTTAAAATTTTACATTTCCTTCGAAACTTTTGTTACTTATTAATTGAATATCAACACGATATACGTTTGCTCTATCGTAGAAAAATGCTTACCTCTGGTGACGGTCGATGATGTGTTTGTCAGTACGTAATACAGAATTCATGATAAAAGCGTTGTTGTAATTATTCGTAAAGTTAAATTTTTAAGGGACAAATTTTTTAATAAACATTTCTAACATTTTCTCTTTTGCATGATTTTATACGACCAAGTTTATATCATCTCTAGTTGAACTAAACGTATTAAACAAACTACACGCTTCACCTTCAACAGCTGTTCGAAGTCAAATGTTTTCATTGGGGTTGGTACAAGATTCAGCATTCAAATTTCTACAGTGACTGTTGTGTCTCAAACCGAAGCTTCGGAAATCTCTCGCAACGAATAATAATTCCAAGAATCACGTGTGTCTTTCAATTCGGAATGGCACAAAATATAAATCCGTTCTATTCCTCTCAAAATGCTCCAAGTAAACCTGCAGAGGAAAAACAGAGTATACCAAAAGACAATCATGCAGTTAGTAAACGGTACGCCAATTTTATCAAATATTTAAAATATACACTATCAACTGAATTTACTCTCATACATTATTTATTTGCTTCCATTTTGTTATCTACTGTTGTGTTTCTTCACGATTTTTCTTTAAGTTCGTGCAACAAGTATACTTTGTTATAACATTATACTACAATACATAACCTATTCGCAATGTTTGAGCGAATAATTTAATATTGGCTCGTTCCCAGATTACAAATATCTCTGATAATAATTATATTTTACAATAATGTTAGTCATAATTGATCCTTTTCTTCGTGCTATTAATAAAGACATACATATGCGTAGACTGCAAAAGGAGCTCATGGTTTTGATGATGAGTACAGAGAAAGGTGTCTCTGCCTTTCCAGATGGAGAAAATTTGTTTAAATGGATAGGAACTATTACAGGACCACGAGACACGGTAATATTGATTTCTATATCATCCTAATCAAAGTATGAATAAGTGTAAGAAATAACTTTTGCCCTCATTTATTACTGCAGGTTTATGCCGGTCTTACGTATAAATTAACTTTAGAATTCCCCCATAGTTACCCATACAGTGCTCCAATTGTACGTTTCGCTACTCCTTGTTTTCATCCAAATGTAGATGCAGTAGGTAATATTTGTTTGGATATATTAAAAGATAAATGGAGCGCTTTGTATGATGTGCGTACTATATTATTATCTATACAGTCTCTTCTTAGTGGTAAGTAACTTTGTATTGATATTATAACAAGTATTGGCAAGCATATCCAAGTGTAAATATCAATCTTTTTTGTAGAACCTAACAATGAGAGTCCCCTTAACGCGCAAGCAGCAAAGCTATGGAGTGACCAAACAAAGTATAAGAAACATTTGACAGAAGAATATCACAGAGCTCTGAACCGTGATCAGCAAGATTCATGATAAGTGCATTTTTATTATGATCTTGGCTTGTTCATTATTTTTATTTCTATCAATGTTACAACTAGGCATAAGCTATAGAAATGCAAACTGCACCGAATTTATGTACTTTATTACAAAAAAAAAATTTAATCTTCTATTATCTTTTGCACCTGTATGCTGTGTCATTCAAAAGAACATAAAGATATCTTTTATATCGTTCATCATGACCACCTTTGTTACATAATTTCGTCAGTCTGTCTTGAAAATGTATAGAAATTTGTATCATGCTTTTAAAGACTGTATATGCGGATTAAACATTTTTATATCGTCAATTTGTACCAGATACTTTTATTTATTTTTACTCTTAGTAATATATATTGACTTTGGATATATTTTAACGTTTTCCATGCATACAAGTTACAGTGACATTGACGTTAAGTCATTGATAATTATTGTATATTTCAAAAATAAATATTTTAAACACTAACATTAGCAACTTTATTACACTTTCACAAACTATTTTGTCCAATTTCTCGAATTAAGGAATATTATTCGTACATTTAATGTTATACTAAATTTATCAATATTACTTCATTTCGAAATAAAATTCAATCACACGTGGTAAATTGTCGGCCGTAATATCTATTCTAACGATGTAAAAACCGGGATTTTTCAATGAAAAATTTCACAATTATATTATTAAATTTATTTCAAACTTAATACATCGCGTTTTATCATTTGATCACTTTAATTCGCGGAATTTTAACGAAATTTCAATTTCACATTTCAAAGATAATTTAAATACATTTCTAATACAGTATAAAATATTATTCACTGCAAAAAGAATAATACGCCAACAAATCTAAGGAATTCTATCCATTATTTCTTGGGAATTACTTGAATCATTGGATTCGAAGCATAAGTTGTAACGAATTAACTTTAATGCTTTCGTAAAATCAAAATAAAAAGAAAAAGTTATTCGAATGTTATAAAACATTGATAACTAATGTAGGTTTCGAATCCACGAAAAACATTTACGTAAAGCAGATAACGGACAACAGTGGAAATTGATTAAATAGAGTTTAACGAAAATTCAATATATCGCGGTATTATCACGTGAGCAAGGCAGTTGTATAACTGGATCGATGAATCGGTAACGTATAAGCAAGAAAGTCGCTAGCCATGCTAGTAAAGTTGCGTCGAAATTTCCTGCGTAATATATCTGTACATTTACGTGTGAATTTTTTCAGATGGACAAATACAAGACTCTTTTCCACGGTTCAAGGCCATATCTCAGAGGTATCCTATTTGTTGCTACAAATTCAAAGTTGTGATTTTTCAATCGATAAATGTTTCAACAGGAAGAAAAAATTGATGTCAATGGAGTGAATATCAATTACCTGAGAGTTGGAAATGGTGAACAACCAGTTTTGCTTTTGCCGGGTGCCCTAGGTGAGTAACTTTGCAAAAATTACCACGTACGGTGCATATAGTTGTGTCTACACTATATAACACAACACGTTATATAGCAAAGTTGTGGAACTTATCTGGAATTGCCGTTCGGACCTACTTTGTTGTCCAGATAAGTTCACATAAGCTGTTGTCAATTCAATCTTAAGCATTTGACGTCATTATTAATCGTGAGATACAGAATGTTACTTGATAACAAGTTATAAAAGTATATTGTACGATCGAGATTACAAAATAATTTTTTATGTAACATTGTTTTGTTATACAGCGTGGGCAAAATTTTATCCATTATTTTACTTACATTATTTTACTTGAATTATGATAATATCGTTTTAGGCACGATTTGGACAGATTTCAAACCACAAATAACGGGACTCGATGGACAAAAATTTACCATAATAGCATGGGATCCACCAGGTTATGGAAAATCAAGGCCACCTGATCGGACATTCCCAGATGATTTTCTACAGCGTGACGCTGATTGGGCTTACAACTTAATGAAAAATTTAGGTTACACGAAATTTTCATTGATAGGATGGAGCGACGGCGGTATCACTTCTTTGATGCTCGCTTCAATGTTTCCCGATAATGTTCGAAAGATGGTAGCCGTTGCTGCGAATGCCTATGTAACGCCAGAAGAAGTCAATATTTACAAAAGTACGTTGATTAACTGAGATTTCGATACCACTGAATCATCCGAATTATTGAAAATCAGTCTAGGTTAACGATCGTTCTATTTGCTTGCATATCGATAGAATTTCAAAATATCGACAGCTGGTCGGAAAAAATGCGAGCGCCATTGATAGCGGTATACGGGGAAGAATATTTTCGAAATACTTGGTCCAATTGGGTAAACGCTATATTGAGAATTTACGAGAAACAAAATGGTGACTTATGCAAACAATCATTAGCAAAAATTAAATGTCCCAGTTTAATTATTCAAGGTAACAAGGATGCAATGGTACTCCCCGAACATCCGACTTACTTGAAAAATCATATCAACGGAGCAAGGTATGTACAATATAATTAATATCGCGATAAAACGTTAATCAACATTGGGCTAATGAAAAAATCATTTCAGACTGAAGATTTTTGAAAACGGAGCACATAATTTGCATTTACGATATCCCGAAGAATTCAACGATGTCGTTACCAAATTCTTGCTCGAATGAACAAAGCTGTTTTACCATGATACGTAAATATGGTAAAGAAAGAACGTATAATATAGGTCGCATTTTCTATTTTACAAAAAGTAATCTTAAATGTATCTAATACATAAAAAATATTGACCAATATACTCTTACCATTTATTATTAGTCTATAGAATATGAAATAAAACCATCGAAAATACAAGAGTTCATTTTAACACGGTGCAAAATATCGAATTTAAAGATCAACTTTTTAAATTAACTTTTGTTTTATTAATTGACGAACGTTCCGGCGTAGAGTAAGAAAATTATCTTCGATTAAAATGCAGAATTAAGCAAATGTCACAAACAGAAATCACAGATAGAGAAGTAAAACGTAAATATCATTAGTACTGGGTGTAATCGAGCAAATATGTAAGTTTTAATAAGACAAGTGAACAACAGTATGACCCACATTATAATCACTGTCGATATGTATAGATATTACATACTCGATAGTTTCGGAAATAATAATTCGTTTCACGTTACTCTTCGACTAGAGTATATTATACTTTGTTTTGTATATTATCTAGATGTTTTCATAAAACCATATGTACGTACGTGCGTGTTGTGCGTTAGTATTAATCCAATGGTTGATTATAGAGTTGATTATACAGTGGGTTATAGATAGAAAAAGCATCCTTATTAAGTATTCGAACAGTACTTATTCTACACTACGCTGAATGCGTGACACGACATAGAGGACACACGTGGGATAACCGGCACAGAAATCAAGTCAGAGAAAGGAGCTATGAAACCACGTGGGCGATGAAGGCTTTTCGTAGGCTTACCTCTTTCGGCAAGGGATACGTCCAAAAATCGTTTCCGCCTTTTGAATCGAAGATGGATCTCTAAAATCGAAAACGATATTTCTCTGAATACACAACCTCTCATGCTCGTTCTTTTGATCTTAAATAAATTCTTCCGTTGGCTTTTTATCAATCGAGAGTATAATATTATTGCTAAATTGAAATAAATGTCACGATAGGATTAATTTGACGAAAGAATCGAGATTAATGTTTTTCTACTAAAGTGAAAGAAAAGTCTAGCAGACGACTATTAAGCACAGATTAGTAAAATTCAATACGGACGTCAAGAACCGCCCATTCGAAATACCCGCAATGCGCTTTGGACTAAAATCGATCGTGTTCCTCGTCATGGCTACGCCCCGAAGAATCATTTGCCAAGAAGCGACCACGCGTATTTCGTATTTTATCACTTTTCTTATTTATTTCAGATCTTTGCGTACTCGTCAATTACGCGTTCTCTCTATTTTTCTGTTTTTATAATAAACGCAATAATAACACGAAAAAAAGTAAACTTCGTAGCGGGATAATATCTGCACACAGATAGAAAGTGGTCTTGTGCTACTTATTATGCGAATGACTTCACAGTCAGGAGCATTCACGCACATATTCATGAAGTACTTCTACTCTGATCTGTCCGTGACAAATATGAATCGCTTAAAATTCTATAAAATACAGGTCTCGAACTTGAATCTGATCTACGACGATTAAACGAACCCCATAATTCTGAACAATCCTCGAAAAGAAGAGAAAGCTTATTCGTCGAATAATGGCGTTGAATAATTACGATAAGGCCAAGGTAGATATTTCTGAAAAATTTGTTGTTTTCCTCTCAGAATGTCTACAATTACATTGCAAACCGTGTTACATAAGTTCAATCGTTCCAAGCAACGAAAGAAATCGGATAGAAAAGGTGACATATAAAATGCAGCGGCCCGTATCCAAACATGGACAGACTGCTTCACCGTTCAATCGTGTGAACCTCTCCTTGCAGTTTATATCCTTTCTTCTACCATTTTCCCTTTTTCTAACAAATGCCTCGCGAGATATCAAGAGCATTTTTTAACAGCACGACTCTTAGAAGGATCGCGATATTAAACGGTGAGATACTAGGTAAAGTAACTTTCTCGTTCCTATAGAGAGACATCGTGCTTTGCATCGAGCATCTGCAACGGCAAACGATAATTCTGCTTAGACTAAATACAAGCAAGAGCCGATCATGCAAATGTTTTTCCCATTTTGGAAATGCGACAAATCGCAGCATCTGCAACGGCAAACGATAATTCCGCTTAGACTAAATACAAGCAAGAGCCGATCATGCAAATGTTTTTCCCATTTTGGAAATGCGACATCGTGTCACGATGATATCATCGCGAGGTGTTACTCAATAACCGGACTGTCGCAAAATTGGATACACCCGAGCGGCTATAACTAACACTCCTATTTACTAAAACATTCTCTCTATTTTGCATTTTTCTTGCAACTTGGTTCGACACGCAAGTACACGTCAGCTGCAAAATTGAATCGTAGGTACTTGAGAGGTGGGAGAGACGAGATGCAAGAGCAAAATAAAAGTCAAAGTACGGAAAGGAGGGAAAAGAAGAAATAATGGAAGGGTTTGCGTTATAGGAGTGAGGTGGGTGAAGAAGGACGAGAGTACAAGATCGAGAAGAACAACCGGGTGACTCACAATCAGATTTCGAAGCTACCGTTATCGAGTTGGTTCCCTTGATCCATGGCTCCACAGCGATGTACCCGTACGCTGTCCTCCAAAGTAGAAAACGATACCATTTACGGCAACTTGCGGCTCCGTTGTTACTCGTTTTCAGACCCGTATCGCTCGAGATCGCACGAGAAAGTAGTCGTATGTCAAAATCTTGTCCTCGATACAACTCGGCCACCCCCACTGATCTTCGCATGAAAAACCGCCCGCTGCTCCGAACGTTTCTCAGACATATTCTCCATAAAGCAATCTGCAAAAGCCCATTAAGACTTTACGCACGCAAATCGTAAGAAACGTATCTGTTTCAAGAGTGGTAGTTGTGGTAATTGAGACACGTCGACACGGATATACGCCTGCGGAAATATTTAGACGTATTTGTCGTGCACGACGTCCTCGGGATCAATAAAAGTTGAGGCGGGGCAAGGTTTGGCCTGACCGTCGTTCCGACTCGATTCTCTCGGATCCTTCTCTTCGTCGTTCTTGTCATCGATGGTATATATTACCTTTGCGCCGCACCAACGATGCGTAAGATTTTCCTTGCCTTTTCTTTCCCTCCTGCGATCGACAATTCCGCCGATCGATTCCATCGCGGTGGATCTATACGATTCGCCGTCGAAGCCCATCCGCTGCGCGTATTATGACTGAATTGTTTCAAAGGTACGAATAGTACAGCGCATATTGCACGATAAAATAAAATTGGCATGGAATACGTTCCTGGAGCTCGATAGCATCGTGACTCATAGCTACCCCTTGTGACACGCGTGTATAAATTATCGCTCACCTATCGTTATCGGGAAAGAGAATGTCGTTCGTTGTTCGTTCGTGCGATACCTCAATTCTCGATAAGAGATAATATAAATACGCTGAATTTTTATTATAACGTAGCGCAACCTTATCCTTGTGTCGTCTATGTGTATATTGTTTACAGCATTCAGTTAGTGCACATGACTCACCTTCGTCGCTCATAAAATATAGTATTCCGACATGAGATATCTCTCGATATAATTTCGTTTTTTTAATCCAATTTTTCTTTCTTTAGATAGCTATCTCGTAATAAGATCGAGAGAAAAAGCATGCTCGAGATTACAATGCTATGAACTTACGTTGATATATATAGCGTGTACTGCCAAGCTGTCAGATCGAACATGAATATCGGGATGACACCGTGCAAGATAGGTGCAAGATAGGTGCAAGATAGGTGCAAGATAGGTGCAAGAACGATGCGGAAGTTTCTTTTTTGTACGACATAGGAACGTACGCGTGAACTTCTCGCTCTTGCTTCGTCTAAATTGGACGTGATGTCAGCGAGCGTTTCTACTCGCGGACTCGTTTAATCGTACGTAGCTAACGAAGGACAATCAGAGTAGAGCATCATTGCATCGGTCGTCTCCTCTCGAATCGACTCCGTAATACGTAACCATTTTTGCTCGTGCAATTCGTACCCGATTCTTCTTCCCTGGTGAAAGCCTTTCGTTTTATTTGCTTTCGTTTTGCATCCAAGTCTACTAACGGAGTCATTATATCGCAATTTTATATACATACTGCATCATACGATGGCAGATACGAGGAACCGAAGGGAGATCAACTATACTCTACTAGTTTCGATTTAACCAAGTACCAGAGTATACGTACGAATTCCTCGCTTCTCTCGGTTAGGATTTACCTTGATAATAAATATGATCCCCCCGTTATTGGCAGGTCCGTTATGTTCGTGTACTGCGACGTACGTCTATCAATGCGAGACCGTGTTTGCGTGTACTCCGGAGCAGGTATGTACGGACGAATACTTACGATCCACGCACACTGCGATGCGCGGGCGTATACACTATCATGGCTGATTTTTTTCCTTCGAAACGAAGAGCGAGTGATCCATACATGGTAACGGTGAGAAGACTGGCTTACGCGTTGCAACGCGTAACCCACCCTACCTGCTCTCCTGTCGCCGCTCGTTTCGTTCTCTCTTGCTTGTAAAGACGTAACACTCACGCCTTAAGTAGTCGCTGCCACTATATTCTAGATGCACACACGTATATGAACGTGTCTATCTTCGCCTACCTTCCGGGCTCAATCGTACTTGCATATCGATCGTTCATTGACAAACTTTTACTCGCACGACTAATTAACGATCAAAAGTTCATGCCTGTAATATCGAATACGCCGTAGTAGGTGTCGTTTAAGGATTATATTTCGTCAATGTTTCATAGAAAAACTTCTTACCAAGCAGCCGCTAAGGCTATCTTTATTTATCGCAGCGATTGTCCCAAAGGCGATACATTTTTTGTTAAATCCGCAATATTTGGGTGGGTGTGTACTACGCCGGTGACTCACGTATCGACTTTTCTTCCAGCCAACTTCGGGCAGGCAGGGTGGGTTTAAGGCACACCCATCTAGCTAAGGGTGGAGACGATATGTATATGTGTGAAGCGATTATCGAATTTGATTGCATAAAAATACAGGCGCGTTGCATAAATTAAAAAGGAATACCGACAGCGATAACAGTTTAAAATGCTAATGGATGTCAATTTTGTTTAAAGAAAATGTATACATTATAGAAACTAGAACGAATTATACATGCATATACGTACGTACAGAGATGGGATAATTGTGGAATTGCTCGACTAATCTTTCAATTTCACTCTATTTGACAACGACGTCACGTAATGTTGCCTAAATTAATTAAGCCTGCTACTGGATCAACTTTTTAAATTATCGATTTTAGTTTCACCGATGCGTACGTACGCGTGTTCGTGCGTCTATACATGTATACAAATTTTATAATTACGTGAGATTTAACTGGCTTACAGTTGTAAAATGAACATCCGAAATTGTTATTACAGCAATGAAAATTTTAAATAAATTCATAGCGTCCAAGTTATTGCTTTCAACGGAGAGGTAAATGTTGAGAATATTGGAAAAAGAGGTCGGATTCGTGGGCCGACAGTGTTGGCCAGCGATTTTGGCGAATCGAAATTTTGTCAACGATGTCACATCCGCAGAAGCTGGAGCGCAGAATCATTGGAGCAGTTGGCAACGCTGCGGACGCTGGCTGGTGAAAAGGTGGCGGGGTTTGGAGATTGACCAATCAGAAGCGTTGCTCGAACCCCCCCACGTCACTCCCCGCGATCGCGTCGAAGCTTGAAAATCTGTAACGGACGCCGCGACCAGGGCATATTCGTTTCTGGGCTCTCGTGACGAGTTAGCGTGCATCTCGTCGTTATTCCGATTATCGCAGTAAGCTTCGAAAAGGTCCAGAAAACTACCAAACAACATGAGGGAAATCGTCCACATTCAAGCCGGCCAGTGCGGTAACCAAATTGGCGCAAAGGTGAGTGCTAAAAATCGTTCGAAATAATTGAAGTCGGGACCGCGTGGAAAATGAACGTTTCTTTGTTCGGCGTCACAGTTCGTGGTAGTGTCCCTTGCTGAACCCTATTCATTCTAAGCTACTTGTACGTTCTTCGAATATCGTAATTTTAGTTATCGTGTACGGAATATACAGAAAATATGATTCGAACGTAATAAATAGGGAGAAAAAAGGAATGAAATTTTTAATTTCCCCGTACATGTATATTTTTAATATCTTGCTCGCGTATCATATTTTTAAAATCTACAAAAATTGACGATATTTCAAGTATCATAAACGTATAATGATCTATTTCGGTGAAATCGAGTATTACACTCGAGCTACGTGGTACGGTTGGCATGCGAAAAAACGGCAACCTCGCTCGGTCGAAGACCTGTCATGGCGACAGAACCTCGCCGGCCGGCGAGTATACTTAACGGTCTTTCCTTCCACCCATGTTTTCTAACGAAGCGTTGTTGTCAAGTGTTAAATAGGTATTTTCTCTTCTTTCGCCTTTCCTTGCATTTGTCGAAAATGTTCATACGTTTCGGAAAAGTAATATGCTGATAGCTGCATCGGTGTGAAAATTTATAAATGTTTTACACGAAGTCTGAATCTGGGCGTGGTCTATCTCTGGCGTCGAGATACACCGGTTGATGCAGCAGCGGAATCGAACGGTTGCGCGCGCAATTGACCCTCTCCTTCTCGTTCTTTCTCTCTCTTTCTCTCTTTCTCTCTCTTTCTCTTTTCTCCATCGACATTCTAGCTAGCGTATAAATTCTTTGCTCGTATCTTTTGATTTTTCCACCAGTTTGGCCCAAGTCTCAATTTTCATACTCTCGCATGCTATATATCTATCGTTTGTTTGACGTTGCAAAATATTTTGAATCATTTTTTTCAATCTGTTTAAGATTATTCACGTAGATATTGTCATTCATGTAATATCTACATGTATTCAGATTATTTTTATCGAATAAAATATGAAATCAATTCCAATATAATACATTCTTAAACCCCGTGAGTAGGAATGAATTTGTTTGACAATCATATTATATACATACATACATATATATATATATATATATATATATGAGAGCGTACGTATAGCAACCGATACAGTTATATGTATTTTTACGCTCTCATAGTTTTCAAGGTTGCTTTATTGAGTCAATGTCCGCTTCCTAAATTATCCTGAAGTACAATCATTATCGATTTTCTTCTAGTAAATGCTTTAAACGAACCTTGATTTTCCTAGTATTATTTTCTAACGACTAGACGATTGTGTAATAGTTACGATTATCCATTCAGGGAATATTGTAACCCAAGGACATCGTGTGTTACGTAGTATGGCGAAACGTTTCCAAATACAGAAAGAAGATATCCTTTCGCCATTTTCCTTTACGTTGCCTCGGTCGGCTTCGAGTTATTTCACGTTGGCAACAACTGACTGGATGTAGCCAGGTGTATCGATCGTCTCACAGAGTGTAAATTCCTAGGCCGCCATTTTGTGTCGACACCATTTATACTTTAAAAAATCAATTTTCAGTTAACAATGATTTTCTGCTACAAAGACGAGAAATTTTCTGAAAATTTCCCTAAATTATTGAATAAAGTTATTGGGAGAATCAGAGTTATAGTTGTATATCATTCGCCAATGGTGGCGCCACTTTATTAATTCCCCAACTAATTTATTATTATTATTTTCTTTTTTACCGTAATTGGTAACGCTAGTGTTTCTTAGTACTTTTTTTTTTTTATCTCGATTTCATCTCGTGTTTCGTAATGCGATCGATTACGAATTTGAGTATTGCACGTACAACGTCTCGATATATTCTTTTGTATTTTTAACAATGATCGCAACTTTGGAAATGTATATTATGTCATAAGGATATTTACAAAGGACACGAGGATGGTTAGTGCTTCGAGTGGGAGAAGATAAAGCAGGAGCCAGGGTGCATAAATCGGGTGTATCGCCTTATGCTAATTAGACAAGATTGGCATTGCAGTCATCATTTCTATATATAGCGATGACATTGGTGACTCATCTCGCTACGGCGATTGTACATACATTGCGTGTACAACATGGTAGTGGGAGGTAGTAAGATTGGACAGTGTTCACTTCCCATTAACGATGGGCATATATGGTTATACTGATTAATAAATCAATCTTCTCCATGTAGAACATTACAATTTTCGTCGGTATGTCGTAATTAATATTATCGCAGCTGCAATTATCATATAGTTCGATGAAATTAAAGTTATTTTAAAGTGCATAGACAGAAGTTATTGCATAATCATAGATTGTAAAAAGAATAGAAAGGTGGGTGGGGTAAAGATACGATATAAGTGGTTATAAAAATTTTCGCAAGATGACGCCAATTTTACGTGCAAACATTACCGACCTATGATAACTCTCCTACAGTGAATAACAGCGGTATCTCGGTTGTTCGAGTCTATTGTTCGTTGGATCAATGGTGAGCCGGGCAAACGATATCGTTCATTTTGTTTGTTATTTTATGCCTGGTATTAAACATTTTGTTTTTCCTATCTGTCGAAAGGCGTGTTTATTAAATTTTATACGTTCGTTTATACGATTGGCTGGTATGCCGAGAACGCTTCGATTTCCAGAAATATACTGCAAGGTCTTTGAACTATAGTTGGGAGAGAAGCATGCACAGCAGTTTCGCGTACTAACTAGTAAGAAAGGTGTACAATTGTACCATGCATTGCTTCGCTGCATGTCCGTTTTGTGCATCCGTCCGTGTCTCGAGAAACGAATCGATGATTTAAACACCGATAAACAAACCCTTCAGGATTCGAGCCAAAGCGCGCTTGTTATAATTAATTTCCACTACGCGGTCGAGTAATTTTGACCTATTAGAATACGAAGAATGGAAAAAGTACAGGCATGCGTGCAAGTGTGTATGTATTTGAAGACGGTAAAAATAAAGGAAAAGAAAAAAATGAGAAAAAAGAAAGAAATGAAAAAAAAAAAAAAAAAAAAAAAAAAAAAAAAAAAAAAAAAAAAAAAAAAACTTCTACCTTGACTGCTTTAATGAATGCCTGTATTACGATTAATTATACGCGAGCTGTTCACCGGCGAGGTCGTCGAACCTTTCCTCTTGGTCGATAATACGGAAGACTGAAAACGGATGTGAGAGGGTAATCGTGAGGTAGAAAATGCATCGACTAGTATTAAATACGATTTCTTGTTCGAACGTTCGTGGTTGTATCTACTTATCAAGTCGAATTGTAAAATCGCGTGAACTATTTTTCTAACGGATATGTATTACCATTTGTTACAGTTTTGGGAAATTATCAGCGACGAGCATGGTATTGATCCAACCGGTACCTACCACGGTGATTCCGACCTTCAGCTGGAAAGAATCAACGTGTACTACAATGAAGCGTCCGGCGGTAAATACGTACCACGTGCTGTTCTCGTCGATCTGGAGCCAGGCACAATGGATTCCGTTCGCTCGGGACCTTTCGGACAAATCTTCAGACCAGATAACTTCGTGTTCGGACAGTCCGGAGCTGGTAACAACTGGGCAAAGGGTCATTATACCGAGGGTGCCGAACTGGTAGACTCCGTTCTCGATGTAGTGAGGAAGGAAGCCGAAAGCTGCGATTGCTTACAAGGTTTCCAACTGACTCACTCATTGGGCGGTGGTACCGGATCTGGTATGGGAACACTGCTCATCTCTAAAATTCGTGAAGAATATCCCGATAGAATCATGAACACATACTCCGTCGTACCATCTCCCAAAGTATCGGACACTGTCGTCGAACCATATAACGCAACGCTTTCCGTACATCAACTGGTAGAAAATACAGATGAGACATACTGCATTGACAACGAGGCCCTTTACGATATTTGCTTCCGCACTTTGAAACTGTCTACGCCTACTTACGGTGATTTGAACCATCTCGTATCCCTCACGATGTCCGGCGTCACCACTTGCCTGAGGTTCCCTGGTCAATTGAACGCCGATTTGAGAAAACTCGCTGTAAACATGGTACCTTTCCCTCGTCTTCACTTCTTCATGCCAGGTTTCGCACCACTCACGTCCCGTGGCAGTCAACAATACAGAGCTCTCTCCGTGCCTGAACTTACCCAACAGATGTTCGACGCAAAGAATATGATGGCCGCTTGCGATCCTAGGCACGGAAGGTATCTCACCGTAGCAGCTATTTTCCGTGGCAGAATGTCGATGAAAGAAGTCGACGAACAGATGCTCAACATCCAAAACAAGAACAGCTCCTACTTTGTCGAATGGATCCCGAACAACGTTAAAACGGCCGTCTGCGACATCCCACCCCGCGGTTTGAAAATGTCCGCCACCTTTATCGGCAACTCCACAGCTATTCAGGAGCTGTTCAAGAGAATCTCCGAACAGTTCACCGCCATGTTCAGGAGAAAGGCTTTCCTTCATTGGTACACCGGCGAGGGTATGGACGAGATGGAGTTCACCGAGGCCGAGTCCAACATGAACGATCTGGTTTCGGAATATCAGCAATACCAAGAAGCTACTGCCGACGAGGAAGCGGAATTCGACGAGGAACAGGAACCAGAAGTCGAAGACATGTAAACACCTATTCTCTACTCTACTTACTACCTATCATCATCCCTCCGTCGTTGTTCCCATTCGTTCTCGTACTGCTTCTTAACTCTGCGTTTATCTCTTCCTTTCCTAGTCCCCCTTCCCCTTTTTTATTTCTTTTTTTACAGTCTATCCAGGCGCGCTTTTTTCACCAGTACCACCCCTCGCATTCGACGAATAATTCGAGGTGAAAAATACCTTTTTTTTAACGTTCTTTTTTCTGTACCGTTTATTCCATTGGATTATATTAGTTTGCGAGGCGCGTCTTTGTATCCAGTGTATAACCGTTGTTGCGGTTACCATCATCTTTGAATAAATTATTATCATATAATTGTACGGTTTTATAAGAATCCCTTATTACCGTCGTACAAATAGTCTATCGTATTTCAACGATTCATTTTCTGTATTTATCAAATTATAATTGTAGTCGTCTTTGTATTTATATTTGTTCTCTTCGTCTATCGATTTTTATACCATGACACATAGATTTGAATAAACTAGATCATTCGATCAAGCAGTACCAAAAAAGCCATCGTGATTAAATATCCAGTTAACACGATAATAAACACAAAGTTTGGAAGTCGTTTGAAATTTGGACTCGGCCATGTTACCTGTAAATCTCATTTTATTAGAAAGAAAAAGAAATACATTTCGTTAGTGTGTATGTACAAATAACCTGCACGGAAATTGTATCGTGGAGAACGGGGTATATGGGAGCTACGTTGAAGGGTATACAGACGGTTCACGTTTCGATATATTTGCTTCACTGAGAAAAAGAAAAATCGTCTCTTGCCAAAGCGTGTTCTATGCGACGTATAATATAGAGCGCGGCTGGAGTGTCGTCCAGTCGAATGTTAAAATTATTAGATCGTGTCGCCATCTGTTGAAAGGAAAAGATGTTCGATGTGCTCGGAATGACCTCTAGTCGACGAATCGTTATTACAGGCATAGAGCCTATTGGCGATAGAAAAGAAGTAGACATCCTATCCAAGTTTCATACGATCAATTTATCGCGCGTAGAAATTCTTCGAGAAATTACAACGTTGAATCTAGATCTTGTCTGGCAAGCTTTCAACGAGTAGATCGTTTCCGTTTCGTTACACCGATATTAGGTACATCGAACGAACACCAGTAGTTCAACGTTTTTACATATTTAGATCTAATGGCTTCGAACTCTTAACAAGTATCACGTCTCTGCTCTTAGTTTTATAGCTTTCAGACGGGAAACAATTAATCGCGAACCAGACACAGGAAGATGAAAGAATTTTCGACGCGTCATACTACGATTATACATGATAACAAGAGACGCGATAATTAGTACAAGATTTTACTCAGATTTTAATCCGCTTTCACGAGTCTCGCGCCAGTCGAGTAACGGATTAATGTAATACAGTTAAGTGGATGGAATCGGAGCATCGTGGTCGTCCACCGTATCACTCGAGATCTTACGACTAATTCTTTCCCAAATGAAACAATTTTACTTCGCGATTGTTCGGCACGCTTATTGGACGTAAATGAAAATTAATGAAATAACTGACCGATATCGATCCACGAATTGCATCGCGCTGTAGAATTATTTGGAAAGGAGGATGGATAGCCGATTGGCTGGAGCCGGCCAATGGCCGAAGAAAGTCGTACGGTCGTAGTGGTAGATTTTCTTAAAGTAATCGGCAGACAACGACCTCGTGGCACAGAAGGTATGACTCATCGTTCGGTTATACGTACCGACGCGATGCGGCGCGTCGCGACACGACGCAGCGGCTAGCCGGCCGGCCGGCCGGTGTTTCGCTTCATGAATTCGATCCAACTCCAGACTCTGCTTACCAAACGCGAGGCATACTTCGTTTTGAAATTCCAAGCTCGATTTTCTATCCGATTCGAAACACGCTACGCGACTCGTAGTCTCGAGTCGTCTGTTTCTCGTCCAAGCATATAACAGAAAACGAACACGAGGAAAAGGTACGGAGAGAATTGGCTGGCTTTTCGATTGATACACGCGGAAAACGGTGATCGGAAAAGGGGAACAGGCGGAAAAGGAATGGAAAACGATTGGAATTGATGGAAAAGGAACGACAGAGAGCGAAAGGAACAAAGAGGGAATGAACAGTCTATGACGCGAGGCGGGGGTGAAAAGCAGACACAGGGAGGGAGTTACAATAATAGAAAAAGAGATTTTACAACGGCAGGGGATCGTGAAACGATGACAAGCGCAGCTGGAGACAAAGCAACGCGACACGTTGTCTTTCGTTCACCGTGGCCCTTTCGACGGGTAACAAGCAAGAAAGCCGAGCGGACACACCGCGTTTTAAGAGTGACTCACGAGACGAAATAGTCCCATTTCTCTTTAGCTATAGGTCATTTTTCTGCCTTTTTTCGAGCACGGTATCACCGCGCGGTATCCACGTGTACCTTCGGCTCGCGTGGAATTCGTACGTAGTTGGAAAAAAATTGGAATTCTCGCGAGATGACGGAAAGCAAAGTCCATCGTGTCGCCGGGGTAGACTGATCGCCTAAAGATATACTCGCGATCGTATTACATATCCGGTGAATGCGCTTCGATTCCATCGAATCGGATATCCTGTTCTCGCTTCTCGGTTATTTTTTCCGAACGCACGAACGCACGTACATACGCGTATCGTGGTCACGAAGCCCTTCTCACTGGACTCGCGACAACGTCGATCGATCGTTTCGATCGCGTGGGCAAAAAAGAGCGAAACGACACAGAAGAAAGAAGGGTATGGCCGGAGGGGGTAGGAGGCGAACGACGATTAGAAAAATAGAAACAAAGAGAGAAAGAATGGTCGTTGCATGGAATAGTGGGTATGAACCCGGTGGAGGTTGTTGTCGGTCGGTTTTCGTCGGTTCATCGGCTCGTCGGCTCGTCGGCTCGTCGACTCGTGCGACGTACTCGCCGGTTGGAGAATCTTCTCCCCCTCCGTGTGGTTGGCGCGGGTAGGCTAGAAGCGCGTCGCGTAACCGAGTGGAGAGTCGACCTCAGGACACCGACACGAGCACGTTTCCTCGTCAGTTTCGCTCCGCAGGCTCCACACCACTGGTGCACTCCTGCGCGACACTCGACTGCATTCGGTTCGCTGCACACGCTCTCTCGTCTCGCTGGTCGCACTCGCCGTTCGTACATTCGCAGCCACACATCGCACACATTCGTCGCCCTGCACGGATCCCAGAGGACGCTTCTTCGCCACGGGTCTATACTCTCTCTTCGATCTTTCGAGGGATCAGCTGTTCGCTCAGCCGCATCTTTTTTTCTTTCTACGCGAAGGGAACATCGAGGGAGGACAGCTTCGAAATGAGGGAGATCGTGCATCTGCAGGCTGGACAATGCGGAAACCAGATCGGTGCAAAGGTAGGTCGACAAGCCGCATTATCGACATCGACATAAACCTCCAGATGTACACACACACACACGGGGTGTGTGTGTATATATATATATATATATATACACACCCGTCCTCTACCCTTGCTCTCGAATTATCGTGATTTCTCTTCTTTGCTTTCTTTACGTATTTTTCTTCCTTCCTAGCTGGCATGTCTGACGAGAAATTTGTTTGTCGCGATTCGATACGAAACGGATGGTTTCGCTTGCCCGTGACGGGCTCGAACGAGCACGTAATCGAATTAAAGACAAGGCGTCGGCAGTGCCGGCTGCGGTGGCGGTGTCGGTGGCGGTGGCGACGACAACGAGCAACGAGATGGAATTTAAAGTGTCTCCTACTCTGATCTGCTCGTGGACAAAGGGCTACTCGCGTCGCAGTCGTTCGAACGCTCCACGCTCTAGCATCGATCGTGCGCCATCTCGTTCGTTCCCTATGGTCGTAATTCTCGTCCTTTCGTATCGCGGCTATAAAGATATCGATACTTTATAGTATCTTTATGCAGGGCTGGCGATGCATACGTAAATGCATGGCGCACTCGAATCGGAAAGCCCGCGTTACGGTTACGCGATCGCGGAAGGAATGGGAGGAATTTCGACCATCGACCGGAAAGTAACGAGCTCGATCTACGAAAATCCTACCTCCTTGCACGATGTAATTAGAGATACGCCGCTTCCGGCCTGGGTTTCTAGAACGATCGCGAAACTCTTTCATGCGGAAAACGATGCAAAAGGGGTCCGCCCATCTTCGGTCCAACTTCGATCCAACAACTTCCGTCGAGCAATCGGAAAGAAAAGAAAAGCGTAACGAATGTAACCCGTACCGCTCTAATAATCGAGCGTACCCCGTGCCGAACGAAATAGGTTGTACCGAACCTCCTAGTCGTGGCCAACGTCGTTTCCAACACCGTTTCCAATGCCGTTTTCAACGCCGTTTTCAACGCCGTCGTCGTCGTCGTCGTCGTCGTCGTCGTCGTCGTGCTCCTTTGGTCGTCGTCTTTGCCGTGGAGAAAAGCACGATGGAGAGAGACGACTATTAATAGAAGAGAGAAAATAGCGAGGGCGAGGCAAATGGAGAACGGCAAGAACGTGGAGCAAGGGTGACTACTAAATTCGAGTCGGGGGGCAGAGGCAACTTTAATCTCGCATATCTCCGTTTTTAGCCGAATCGTGTCTTCCTAGTTTTATTCTCTCGAAACGAACATTCACACCGCTGCTGCCAGGCTCGTCAAAGTCGTAGAAACGTGGAAAGAGAAAAAACGACATGAAAGTAATTTCTCTTTACAGTTCTGGGAAGTGATCTCCGAGGAGCACGGCATCGACCAATCGGGCATCTATCACGGGGATAGCGATCTACAGTTGGAGCGAATTTCGGTCTACTATAACGAGGCTTCTGGTAAGGATGTTGCAACGTTTTCATTCCGCTTTTCTCGTTCCTTTATTTTTCTTCTATTATACTGGAGCAACGACGCTCCTTCGAGGCGGAGAACGCTGGTTCGCCGGTGAACGAACGCGAGTACTCGGAGAAGAAAGAGGCTTACTCGATCAGGGTACACGGATTTGGCGCTTGCGCGCGCGCACGCGTGCGCTCTAAAATAGAAGCGACTGCGGTCGCAGCGACACGCGCGGCCACATCGCAAAAAACAAGCGACAAAGATAAACGCGTTTCGCGGGGACAGAAATAGACGCTTTGTTCGTGCAGCACCCTTGGCTTTTATACCCCGAAGGAAAGATCTGAGCGTAAAAGACGCGGTCGATTTGCAAACGGTGCTGCGCGTTTCCGTCCACCATTTAAAGTACGTGCGTCGGTCGCATCGGCCGCGCGTCATTCGTTTCGGTGGAATGACAATACGTTTCGAAGCTGTTTAGTATGAACGGCGATACGTGCCAACCGTGGTTGCTTTTGGAAGCCGCGCGCGTGTCCGGTCCCGCGAGACCACGTTCTTCCGCTTATGGATCGAAATCGCGGATCGAAATCGTCGATCGAAATTACGAATCGGAATTAGGAATGGCATGGCGTGCGGCGCGTATCCGTCTCCGGTTATCCACGTGAACTCGATTTTTCCTCCGTACTACGTATCGTTACAGTCGCCACCTCGACCAATGGGGGAAAGTACGTGCCGAGAGCTATTCTTCTGGATCTGGAGCCTGGAACGATGGACGCTGTCCGATCGGGTGCCTACGGAAAACTCTTTCGGCCGGATAACTTCGTGTTTGGCCAATCCGGAGCGGGTAACAACTGGGCGAAAGGTCATTACACCGAGGGTGCGGAATTGGTCGACTCGGTGCTGGACGTGGTGAGAAAGGAGTGCGAGAACTGCGATTGCCTGCAAGGCTTTCAGCTGACTCACTCTCTCGGTGGTGGGACCGGATCCGGTATGGGGACGCTGCTCATCTCGAAAATACGCGAAGAATATCCGGATCGAATTATGAACACGTACTCGGTGATGCCCTCGCCTAAGGTCTCGGACACCGTGGTGGAACCTTACAACGCCACCCTGTCCGTCCATCAGTTGGTCGAGAACACCGACGAGACTTATTGCATCGACAACGAGGCCCTCTACGACATCTGCTTCCGTACCTTGAAGGTTTCGAATCCTAGTTACGGCGACTTGAATCATCTCGTCTCGCTCACCATGTCCGGCGTAACAACCTGTCTCAGGTTCCCCGGACAATTAAACGCCGATCTGCGAAAGCTAGCGGTCAACATGGTCCCGTTTCCTCGTCTTCACTTCTTCATGCCCGGTTTTGCACCGTTAACCTCCAGATCCATGCAACAATATTCCGCCCTCTCTGTACCGGAGTTGACGCAGCAAATGTTCGACGCGAAGAACATGATGGCGGCCTGCGATCCTAGACACGGACGATACTTGACGGTCGCTGCCGTCTTTCGAGGAAGAATGTCGATGAAGGAGGTCGACGAGCAAATGCTCAGCGTTCAGAACAAGAATAGCTCCTACTTCGTCGAATGGATCCCGAATAACGTAAAGACAGCCGTCTGCGACATACCACCGAAAGGCCTGAAAATGTCCTCGACCTTCATCGGAAATACGACCGCCATTCAAGAACTGTTTAAGCGGATCTCCGAGCAATTTACCGCGATGTTTCGCAGGAAAGCATTCTTGCATTGGTACACCGGCGAGGGTATGGACGAGATGGAGTTCACCGAGGCCGAATCGAACATGAACGATCTGGTTTCCGAATATCAACAATATCAGGAGGCCACTGCCGAAGAAGATTTCGAAGCTGAGGAATGCGCCGACGACTTCGAAACCTGCGAGCAGGAGTAAATCGATCGCCAATCTTCTTTCCTTCGAACACGAGCTACCCACCGAATCGGACGCTTCTCTCTCGTCTTCGCTCCACTCCTCACTCCCCTTTGCGCCGCTTCTGTCCTAGCTGTTCCATTTTCCCTTTTCCCTCTCGTCTCTTCCGACATTCGTTTTTCATTCTCGTCTCGAGTCGGTGGTGGCAACATTTGCGACATCTCTGTCTCTTTTGTACTTTTATACGTGACAATTTTTTTACGATCGAGGAGTTTATTGCAGCGACCGACGTCGAGTGTGCCACGCGGTATAATTCGCCATACGGCGAATCTGTTTTTCCATCGATCCTCGGTTACTGCATTTCGCTCCGCAAATAGCGTTAAGAGGAATAACAGAGCGGAAAAGTTCACTCGGATCAACTTTTTCCGCTCGAATTACGACTCAACGTTCTCGAGGGACGACGACTGGCAACAAAAATTTAAGACCAAACACCAAAGCACCCGAACCAAAAATCTACCTTTCTCGTTGCATCCACGTCAACTATATTGCATGCGTATATTTAATCGTGGCACGCGTTTCGCAATGTAGCGCAAGTTTGTTCCTTGCAAAAATATACGTTTTTTCAATTATTTGTCTTTTTCTTTTTCTCTTCCCCAGCTCCGCTGCCTATCTCTCTCCCTCTCCCTCTCCCCCACCTTCCCCATCATTTGTCTTTCTTTTTCTCTCCCGCAATTCCCCCTGCTTCCTCTCCCGCGCTCGTTTTCGCATTGTTCCGTACCGTTCCGTACGATCGACAATCCGTCTCCCATTAGTCCTCGTACTCCGCCGGATCCTCGGCAAAGCTGGTCTCGGCTATCGCTTCCTCCTGTTGTTGATACTCGGACACGAGATCGTTCACCGTCGATCGGCTGTCGGAAAATTCGCTCTCGTCCATTCCCTCGGCCGTGTACCAATGCAGGTAAGCTCGTTTCTTCATCATACCGTCAAAGGCGATCGTCAGTCTTTTGAATGGTTCCTGTATCGCCGTCGTGTTCGATATCATGCTGGCGCTCATAGTTAGCCCTCGCGGAGCGATGTCGCACAACGCTGTTTGAATGTTATTCGGTATCCATTCGACGAAATAGGGACTGTTTCTGTTTCGTATATTCAACATCTGCATGTCCACGAGCTGCAAACAGATCAAAGCGATCACAGATTGGAAACGCGTAATGAACGTACGCGAACGTATGCTTGCCCGAGGTGATTTAAACGGGCGATAAAAGTAAAACGGGGTCCCATTATCCGACCTTGGTCGACACTCTGCCCCTGAAGATGGCAGCCACCGTGAGGAATTTGGACAGTCTCGGATCGTAATAGACGAACATGCTGTTCGCGTGAAACAACTGCTGCGTCAATTCTGGAATTGAGATGACCGTGTACGGGGCCGAGCTTCGGGACATGAGCGGGGCGTATGCGGGGACGAAAAAATGAAGTCTCGGGAAAGGTACCAAGTTGACTAGTAGCTTTCTTAGATCGGTATTCAATTGGCCGGGAAATCTGAAGGAAGTCGTGATGCCAGACATGTAATTAGATATCAGACGATTCGCGTCTTTGAACGTTGGCACGGTGAGCTTTAAAACGTGCGTGCATATGTGATGCATCGCTCGATTATCCACGCAAAACGTTTGGTCGGTGTACTCGATCGATTTGCCGAGCGTGAGTACCGCGTTGTACGGTTCTACTACGACATCCGACATCATCGGGGACGGTATCACGTTGTATGTCTTCAGAATCCTCTCCGGATACTCTTCCTTGAGTCTGGTCATCAGCAACGAGGTCATTCCGCCGCCGGTCCCGCCACCCAGCGAGTGGACGATTTGAATGCCTGAATCGTAAAAATAAGCAGCGAAGAACAGGAGAAACGCACAGGGGAAATAGCATTCCGTTGTACTAACCTTGTATCAAATCGCAGGCTTCTGCCTCCGCGCGAATCAGATCTAACGCAACGTCGACCAATTCGGCACCCTCGGTGTAATAACCTTTCGCCCAATTGTTGGCGGCACTAGCCTTACCTGCCGCGAAATTATCCGGCTTGAACAACCTGCCGCACGGACCGGATAACACGCTGTCCAAGCTTCCTGGATCGAGATCCGCGAGAATCGCTCTCGGAACGAATCGATTGCCTAAAGAAGAGGTTAAACCGCTTTCCATCGCCAACCATCTATAATTTCTTTTTTCTGCTGGATACCTGGTCCTTCCACGAAGTACACGTTCATTCGTTGCAATTGTAGATCGGAATCCCCCTCAAACGTTCCATCCATGCTCAGACCGTGCTCGTCCGAGATTACCTCCCAAAACTGCCAGGCAAATCCGAAGATTACGAGGGCATGGAACAGAACGCGCGACATCGCGCAAATGGCGCACGCGCGTTTGCAACCCTACCTTCGTCCCGATGTTGTTTCCGCATTGACCGATTTGCACGTGCACGATTTCCCTCATTGTCGCTGCTTATGTAGAAACGCTGCGACTTTTTACACCAGAAATTTCGTTACGTTCCGTCCGACGAGAGGAAAGGAGGAAGGGGGATAAAAGAGATCGCGATCTCGAAACGTCACGAATCCCACGGAGCCAAGTTCACACTCGACTGTGTTGTAGACACCGGTCGATTCGATCTCTCGCGACCTGACTTTTCGAGTGTACGCGTACGCTCGACGCGCTTCGTTTCCAACGGAATCTCTGTCCGTGCGCGTCGCTACTGTCGCCGCGACTCCGATGGTAATTGGCGTGACTAGTAGCGAGCTATACCAGCGTATAATTGGTATCGACGCGATATAATCGCGCAATGATTCAAGCTCACGTAGAATTGATATGCGATAAAGAATATCTATTAAATGTTTGAACAAAGATAATATAACATTTTCTAAATTACTTACAAGAAATGTATACGTGTGTAAGTATGCGTGTGTGTGTGTGTGTGTGTGTGTGTGCGCGCGTGCGTGCGCATGTCGTGTGTGCGTGCGTGTATCTACGTAAATATATCTAAACAGTATTACATCGTATCATGCGAGCATTGTGAGAAAGAAGGGATGGGGAGGTAAGGGGGAAGGTGAGGGGTAGGGGATGTGCATTGGTGTACATGTGTGTCTATATGCGTAAAAATTCGTCGAAAATAACAAACGTAGAAAGATGAATGTACAAATGGCGGGAAGAAAAATAGATTTCGTTAAAATACGGTAAAAAGACAAGAAGTTTACGTTGGCGAAACTAAACGTTTCGCGATACGTGGATCGATGGCACGTGTTACACGAAGAATTTGCAGAAACAGGTGGGATCGGATTCTCTGGTTGGGACTCGAGTCGAGGACCCGGTAGATAGATTGCGGAGAAACGGTCCCGGCAAACGCGTTTCTCACTTCTCTGTCTCCTCTTCCTCGCAGAATGTCTCCTCGTCCTCCGCGGTGGCCTCCTGATATTGCTGATACTCCGAAACCAGATCGTTCATGTTGGACTCGGCCTCGGTGAACTCCATCACGTCCATACCCTCGCCCGTGTACCAATGAAGGAAAGCCTTCCTCCTAAACATGGCGGTGAACTGTTCGGAGATCCTCTTGAACAGCTCCTGAATAGCCGTGGAGTTGCCGATAAAGGTGGCGGACATCTTCAAACCGCGGGGTGGAATGTCGCAAACGGCCGTCTTCACGTTATTCGGGATCCACTCGACGAAGTAGCTGCTGTTCTTGTTTTGAATGTTGAGCATTTGCTCGTCGACCTCCTTCATCGACATCCTTCCACGAAAGACCGCAGCCACGGTGAGATATCGTCCGTGCCTCGGGTCGCAAGCAGCCATCATGTTCTTCGCGTCGAACATCTGTTGAGTGAGCTCCGGTACCGTCAACGCCCTGTACTGCTGGCTTCTCCGAGAGGTGAGTGGCGCGAAACCGGGCATAAAGAAATGCAATCGCGGAAACGGTACCATGTTCACGGCGAGTTTTCTCAAGTCCGCGTTCAACTGTCCGGGAAATCGGAGACAAGTGGTTACACCGGACATGGTAGCCGACACCAGATGATTCAAATCTCCGTAGGTGGGAGTGGAGAGTTTCAAGGTGCGGAAGCAAATGTCGTAGAGCGCCTCGTTGTCGATGCAATAGGCCTGGTCGGTATTCTCGACCAACTGATGCACCGACAAGGTCGCGTTGTACGGTTCGACCACGGTGTCGGATACCTTCGGCGACGGTACCACGGAGAACGTGGTCATTATCCTGTCGGGATACTCTTCCCGAATCTTCGAGATCAATAGGGTGCCCATCCCGGATCCGGTACCACCGCCCAACGAGTGCGTCAGTTGAAAACCTTGCAGGCAGTCGCAATTCTCCGCCTCTTTTCTCACCACGTCCAGCACCGAGTCCACCAGTTCCGCACCCTCGGTGTAATAACCTTTCGCCCAGTTGTTACCCGCTCCGGATTGGCCGAACACGAAATTGTCCGGCCGGAAGATATTCCCGAACGGTCCCGAGCGCACCGACTCCATGGTACCAGGTTCCAGATCGACGAGAATCGCGCGCGGCACGTACTTGCTACCAGACGCCTCGTTGTAATAGACGTTGATCCTCTCCAATTGTAGGGCCGAGTCTCCGTGGTAGGCACCGGCCGGGTCGATGCCGTGCTCATCCGAGATCACCTCCCAGAACTGTCGTTATCGAAAACACGTGGGTGATAAACGATCGGCTGAAAAGTTGTTGGTTCACCGAAATGTGGTACGCGACTCGTGGTTCTCTAACGCGAACGCGAACGCGAACAGTTAATCGATCGTGGATTATCATCGGCCATCGATTATCGCCGTCTATCGATACGTCGTCGAGACTCCAAGTCGGCGTCCAACCAATAACCCTTTCCCGATGGAACCGAGTCGAAATACGCTTATCCGTGTTTCAGGTACTCGGAGAGATTTCGCGTGAATAGCACTGACCTTGGCACCGATTTGGTTGCCACATTGTCCAGCTTGGATATGCACGATTTCCCGCATCTTTAAATCGACGACGAAGAAAAAGGGGCAAGGCGACGGAGAATTTCGACGTTTCGGTTGGACCGAAATTACTCGATCATCCGCGAAGGTGGTGGTAGCGGAGACAATGGTGGTCCGTGGTTGATGGGACGAGGTCCAAGGACGAGGAACAGATTCTTGGCTCCTCGGCTCGACGATGTCACCTATCGAACGCTTCCAACGCGGTTCGCGCAAACAGAAACAGACGAGCGTTCGTTTCACCTTGACGACGCGGAATCGCGTACAACCACGATACCTTTCGCGACATTTTTCGCAAAAGTTTATCTCGTCGCGACGCTTCGCACTCGCTGCTTCTACCACGCCTTCTATACCCTTCCTATTTTTCTCACACGCGCGCACACACACACACACCCACTCTTTCTCTCTCTCTCTCTCTCTCTCTCTCTCTCTCCCTCCCTCGAATTATCGTCTTTATGGGAAATGGAAATTCCCAGAAACGGCGAACGGAGACCGAGAAGGGATAAATAGTATTGGAATATACGAAGAAATACGCGTACGCGTCCATGATGGGCACGCGGGTGTGTATCGCGATCTGGAAGCGTGAAACGTTAAACGATTCATTGCGTTCTTCTTTGCTCGACGACGATCAACGGGTCGTCGAATCGGTCGTCGTGCGCGATTTCTCCACGGACGTCGGTCGTTGTCGGACTCTGGACGGATCGGGAATTCTCGGCTTCCCGTTCGATCGTCGCTATCGCCGTTATCGTTGCCGCGGTTGCCTCCGATGTTGTCGAGGACGCGGCAACCGACTCCTCCTGCAACGCGGACGACAACGAACGATTACCCGGTCGACCGTTCACCAGGAACCTCAGTGGCACGGCTTCCGATTTGTCGTCCGAGCCTCTGTTTCCCTTCCTGAAACGCGTGGTTCACGTACAGGTAGCGGTAGCGATATGTTGCATCGCGCTATTCGAAGACGAAGACGATACTGACTTTGGTAGCGTCGGACAGGACCATAGCTTGAAGTCGGCCCCGAACAGCTCGCCCTCCTCGATCGTTTGCGGCAAATGGATATTGAGGGTTTCCGGCAGGAAGATGGACGTGAGAGCGCCAGCGACGCTGAGCGTGCCCATTATGATCAACGGCAGGACCCTGGAGTAGACCGCCAGGTGAACGATGTACGGGAAAGCGAGTAGACCGATTCCCGCGATGAACGAGGCGATTCCCATCGCCTGAGATCTCAGCACCGTCGGTAGCAGCTCACCGACGAACACGTAGAACACCGCGAACGACGCAGCGATGCCGAACTTGCCGATCATCGCCAGGAACACCGTTATCCATACGGCGTCTGCTGCGACACACCCGGCACGCGTGTTACGTTTTCCAAGTTTATCGCGTAATCGCGCGTAGCTTGAGCAAAAGAGCAAAGAAGATCGTACCTTCGGGAACGAACATGCAAGAGACGCAGGCGAGTCCGCCCAGTAGCATGGTCAGGCACAGTACCCATCTTCTGCCGAGGCGGTCCATCGCGTACCACGTGATCACGTACGAGGGTATCTCTACCAGTCCGCCTGTAACAACGCGGTCCAACCGAAAACGACGTTCGATCGACGAGCTCGCTGCTTAATCGTCGCTCCCGTCGTTCGCCTCGTGTCGACAACGATCGAAAAGATGCGACACGCATGCGAAAACATGTTTACACGACGAACGAGACGAGACGAGACGAGACGAGACGAAACGAGGAGCGACGCGGCAAGATTGGCCGCGAAGGTCGAGTCGAGTCGAGTCGAGTCGAGTCGAGTCGGGTCGGGTAGCAAGATCTCGATTTTAAACGGTTCTTACCGATGAAGAAGGCTAGATAATCGGAGACACCGAGATTCGTCGCGTTGTACGACAATCCGTTATAAACCACAGCGTTGGCCACCCAATCGAACGCCAGGATGAAGAACTTTTTCCTGATGTTCGGGTTCCTGATCAGATCCATCGGGGTGGCTGCTGGCGGTGGCGATCGATCCTCCATCTCGTTCGATTCCGGATTGTCTCCCGAATTCGTCCCGTTACAGGATATCCCTTGTCTCCGTAAAATTTCCACCTGAAATTTATCCCAATCTCTCTCTCTTTCTCTCTCTGTTTTTCACGCATCCTCGACGAAAGTTCGTTACCTCCATTTTTCTGAGAAAATTGTTCGGCACCGTTCTACCGTTGATCTTGGCCATCCGTTGCACGATCACTTCCGCCTCGTCTATTCTATTCTTGCTGAGAAGCCACCGCGGCGACTCCGGAATGATCCAGTAATAGCTAAAGAGAAGAACGAAGGGGACCGAGGTAGCCAACGAGAGCGTAAACCAGTGCCTGAGTAAATAGCCCTGAAAGAAAGAACGGAAAAGCTAACGACCCGATTACCGGGTTACATCTCTGGACGCGACTTTCTCGAGACACCGAGGTGGTAGCTCGAGAGATGGACGGGAGAGAACGATACGCGTTACCAGAACGGCTAGAAGAGACATGGCCGACGCGAAGAACATGCAGATCACCATCCCTGCGAACGTTCTGTACCTCGGGCCCATCAGTTCCAGAGCTGAAAGGAGAGAAAGATTTTCGGATACGCTGGAAGAAGAATGGTGGAACGAGCGTGCTCGTCGTTTTAGTCGGAGTATTCGCGAGTACCTAGGATAAAGGGTATCTGATAGATGGCTGGAAAAGAGAGGCCGTTGACGGTTCTCAGCGCCGTGTAGATGACGTAGTTGGGACTGAAGCTGGTGGCTATCGAGAATATCACCTCGAGAAAGAGTATAGCGAAGAAGGCCGTCCTCCTGCCCCATTTGTCCGCGATCCAGCCAAACACCACGTTGCCAAACAGGCTGCCGACGTAGAAGAAGGTCGTAGAGGTGGAAGGCCACCAACTGTTGTCGCATACCAAGTCTAGCTATGTGGATGCAGTCGGCGATTAAAACGTAACGTCCTGGACGACGATCTTTTCTTCGTTCGCGCGTCATATCTGCGAGAAGATCGATCCGCGGCCAATAGTCGGGAAATTCTAGGGAAACCGGCCGTGATCGCGAGCTATCCGTCGACTCGCGGTTCGTTTGCGAATACGAGTCATTGCTCCGGTTACGTTTATCACCTCCCTGCCTCTCCCTCCGTCTTATCACTTTCGAGGGAGCTCGATCGGCGAACGAGAAAATTGGATCGATCGCGACGGCGTTCCAAGGTTTGGAAGGTTGCATGGACGGATCAGCGATCGATGACGAATAGGCGATGGTGCGTGAACGTGGACGACGCGGAAGAGGTTGTTGGAAACCGATCGGTGGAGTAAAAAGCCGCTCTCTCGTCCCACCGCGTGCTCGATTGCCCGTTCGAAACGGATTGCGCTCACGTACACGCGACGCGATTGCATTACGCGGCGACGCGCGGCCGCGCTCTCGCGCTCTGTTCAGCTGCCGCGCAACGATATTCCCAACGCGTAACGCGTCACCCATCACCCGTCACGCGTCACGCGTCACGCGTCACGCGTCAAACGTCAGCGTCACGGGGAGCGCCGTTTCCATCGGCCGAATTCGCGTCCCTGTTGGCGCAATTGCCGCCGAGATTCGCGAGAGGCTTTGTCGATATAGCCGGTAGGCATCGGCAAGCGAACAACCGCGAGACGCGTCTCGTATCCAGCGCTCGCTGTTAGAGGCGTTACACTCGCTGTTAGATGCGCCACTTTACGCGCGGCTTTACGCGCGGCTTTACGCGCGGCTTTACGCGCGGCTTTACGCGCGGCTTTACGCGCGGCGTCGAGAGTGCCGGACAAAGGAATCCGACGTGGGCGTAAACACGTGCGAGTACAAGGAATCGTCGCGGTGATCATCGAGCGCCGATCAACCTCGGCAAATAAACCGCGCCGCCGGTTATCGTTAATAGGTTTAACACGAACTTTGATTTAAGCAAATTGCCACTCACGGACTTTTGATGTCTGCGTGAAACGCAAAAGGTAAATTGCATGGAAATACGGGAGCGCTCTCGGTACGACGACGGCATCGAGTTATTGTCAAGGGCAGCACATGCGCCCGTAGGACGTTAACGACGAGCGCGCATTTTATCACCCTGACACACTTCGAAAACGATCCATTGATATGACCGCGGATCGCGTCGCTCGTTTTTCGTTATTCGTTGCTCGCTTTGTTTCGAGCCTCGTTACGCTCCACGATCGCGAGAAACGACCCTCGCGCCTCCTCTTCCATTTTCGGCTTTCGACTTTCTGCCTCGCGGCATCATCAGCGAACGATGACACCAGGCGAGGTACGCGCCGCCGGAAATCCGGTACGAGTTCCATCCACTTCCGTGCTCGCATCCACGCGTCTCCGGACCCCACCCGCGCCACGCCAACCCAAGGAACCCTCTAATCGACTCTGCTCCGATTCATGCCACGCCACGCCCCAATACCTTCCCTCGCACCAATCTTTTTCATTTTTCTTTTCTTTTCCTTTGCCGAAGGACGACCAACAAACTGGATGGCGAATCGCGAAGGGGTGCGCGCGCGAGAGGGAGAGAGAGAGAGAGAGAGAGGAGACACTGAATTCTCGATGGACGCAAAGGGACGCGTCGCGTCCCATCGTGTCGCGAGGTTAGGATAGGAAGGAAGGATAGGATTTGCCTCGATCACGCTGTGCGTCATACGTCTGCGTAAATCCGGACCGTGTAAATACGCACGACACGCACACCCTCCGCGTTGATATAGTCACCGGACCGACAATCTCGGAACGGTTGTCACGCGGGGCACGAGGGGTTCGAGTAGGCCACGAACCAGAACAACCGGAGGATGGGGAAGGGATGAGATGGAATAG